CGGTGGGTACACGCAGTAAAATTTTGATTTTGTTCTTCTCTGGTTTTTGTAAAACATTTCCACTGTCAGAACCTCAAAGTTTTGTATAAACGGAGTTATGGGTGATTTCACGATAACAGGAATAGTTAAAATGTGAAATACCTTAGACATAAAAGTGCACCAATTTTAACAGGATTTCATTACCTCATTTTAAAGGTATTAAACTTCCTTTTTCCAGCTTTGGCACGCTCTATTTTGATTCAGTGCAAAGTTAAAGTGATTGATAAACAAGCCATTGAATCAGGTATCAGCGCTTCCCGCGGGACTGCTGGATGTCCACGCAAACATGGCGGCCCTGCCAAATTGTGTCGGTTACGTAACAGACACAGCGTAACCGACACTCAAAAATGTGAGATTAAAGATGATAAAAAAGATGCAACTTGGCAATTCTTGAGTTATGAGGTGGAATTAATACTGCCTTAAAAGTTTTCTAAACTTTGGAGACTTCCTTTTAGTTTAATACTATTAAATCGAGGTTTTTGTGTAGTGAGGAATTAGTGCTACACACGTAAAAATCACTAATTTTCATAATAATTAAAGTTTTCATTGAAAAAAAACTGACTTATCAGTAATGCTTTTGTCAAGAAGACTTCAGTGAACAATTTGATGGCAGTTTTGAAACTCCTGAAGCCATCTTTCTTATGACTTTTCTCGCTCAATAATAAACATTTCAGTTCAAACTGGCAATTTTCTTGAAGCAAATATTGCCAAAGAGTTCATGATCAGTACTGATTTGTTACCGCAAATTGCTCTTTTGCTTCAAAATCGGGGTTGGCGACGCGTAACCGACCGGACATTTTCGGCCTTTAAAGTCTCATATTATTAAATATAATAATAATTCATCATATTTTTTAGCATGGATAGGTTCAGGGACATCATTCCTATTGATTAATTAATTTGGTTTTCAATCGTTTTGCCCTATGTCGTTCATAACCCACGGCGACACGACTATTCCTGTTATCGTGAAATCACCCATATAAGCCTTCAAAGTTTCCAAATTTTGTGACCTCTCCTATTGACTCGATCCACTGTGTCGTTTAATATTTGCCCCGACTGTAGTTGAACATACGGCCCCGCAAACATCTAATCTCAGTCGAAACGACGGGACGCGGTACTGTGAGATCACCCTCTCCAGGTCTCTGGTATACATACAATAACAATAATGCTTCGTCTCCAAGCATCGCTGTTTATCTCATTACTTTGCGAGAAATTTTACATCCAAGTCTGAAAGCCTTGAACATTTATGTACATATATTCATGTATAAGTCGATAATCTTACCGATCGTGTCAGTCCCGCTCGGACATTGCACTCCAGTGGGTCTGTGACATTGGTCGTTTGCATGCATACATATACATTTATATTTGGGAAAAATCTGTTTTCTATCTCGATTTTCATGATGTGGTATCGAGTTTTTTCGAAAGAAATGTTTGCCCTCGATGTATACTGGTTACACTATGAGATCTCTCTTTTTCATGATCTGCATGAATACGCCCATGTTCTATCTAAGCAACCAGTATGTGCGTCTAGTATTTAATGGAAGAATAGCACATGAAGAACAACAGAACGACGTGTTCAAAATGTGTGTTTGAAAGTTCTGAAATAATATTTTCGGTGGGAAAATCTCTAGCATCCTTTTGGGCTGATTTGAAAGTTTTAGATTTACGCCCATTTTCAAGAAACTGGGGGAATATTGAGATATTTTAAGTGAAAAAGTTGGTTTGCAGTGAAATTTTGTTATTTTAAAGCTGAGAATGGGAGGTACATCGTTCCGATAAAAATAAATATTTAGAGGCATTGCTTCCTCCCCCCCCCAATTAATACTCTCTCGTGTTAGTACTTTTCGGCATTCCAAACATTTGAGGGGGCAAATGAAAAATAGGACTGACGCTTTTCGACCAGAAACCTATTTAATTATTTATTTTTACTACTTCAAATAGCCCACAGGGGCTAATTCTTGCGCTTTAGTCCTGTCCCCCTCCGTCCTTACAACCAGTCCCAGGCAACCATTCTTTAAGACCATCAAACTCGGGTCGCCTGGCCGGGAATCAAACCCGGGACCTCCCGATCATAGAGCTCACTGGCGTGGCGTGAATTGCGATGTATCGATTGTTATGCCATTCATACCTATGGAAAAGGATCGATTAACAGGGTGTTCGCAGCGAACACCTTAATAATCGATTCTTTATCATAGGTTTAAATGGCATAACAATCGATATATCGCAATTCACGCCACGCCACTGAAGAGCTAGCGCTACAACCACTACACCATATAGGCGGCCGACAATTGTGGAAGTTCTCCATCTTTTCTGGGTTCGATGGGGCACACTTTTTTCCTCTACGACATGTAATTGAACGTATTTATGCTAAAAAGAACTATATGCACGTAGGAACTGCGTGCAAGATAGTTCCTTTCAGCATAAAACGACCAATTGTAATACCACACCGGCTGCAGAGGCTGTTGAAAAGACGGCATAGGTACTTGATCAGAGGAAGTAATTTTCTAGCAGACGGGTAATAATTCTAATTTGAATTTGCATCATCCGGTGAAAATTCTGTCGAGAATGAGAAACGCAACTGAGAGAAGAAATGCAAAAGTAAATAACCATCACCGGTGCCAATTCTCTGCGTTCCTTAGCAGTTTTATCTGCGAAATTTGGGAATTTTGCCTGCAAGTTGGCAAGGAGGCCCAAGCAAAACGTAATTGACAGAACGAAAGCCTGGAACTGAAAACTGAGGAAAATTGAAACGAGCTAACGGAAACGGATTGATCGTTCGTTTTGCCGTTGCTATTTACGACAAGGATGCAATATTCTGCCGTGATATAGCGAAGAGTTGCAAAAAAGTGAAGATGCAAAAATGAAGTTTTCAGAAAATGGGCCTAGAAGCCTCTGAGTGGAGCATTTTATTAAATTATAAATTATATTAAATTGTAACTGTATTTTTAATTGACTGCCGATAAAATTTAGTGAAATTTTCAAACAGATTCAACCATCAATTTCTCTGTAACAAAATAAAATGACGGCGGAAATTTCTAAACGTCGCATGGCGCCAGTGTTATTTTAGCTGATTAACACACGAGGGTATTTGAGTTATCGAGTTAGGTAATGTTTGACAAAGAATCAGCGCCACAAAAAAAGAACTCTACTTAAAAATGAACGCACTCGGAAAAAATGAAATTGCTGATTTAACAATTTTGTAGTTGAAAAAAAGAGAGACATGTTTCAATGTAGATTTTACAAAAAAATAAAGCAACTTTATCCTCGCCCGTGCTTGAATTAGCTTTCTACTATTGTAAAGTGTACATTTGGAACGTGTCTGATACTCTTTTTTAACATTTTAATTGTTAAGTCAGCAATCTTTTTTCCCCCGTGCACTTCAGATAGCAACTATAAAGAATAACGTAATTTATACATAAATCTTGTAGAGTTTCCAACAATAAGTATACACTTCTAATAATCTTAATTCGCTGACTGATTCAAATTATCGCGGGCAAGAGGATGCGCTCCCGCGCGCACCATACATAGCGCCTTCAACATCGTAGAAATACTTCAAACGCTACACCGCACCGCTATTGAGTACATTCCGGCAGGCGCAGTATAGGCAATTTGCACGTCGGAACGTGTGTGTCACGATGTAGCGTTGGAAGTATTTCTACGATGTTGAAGGCACTATATATGGTCATCACGGGAGCACATGCTATTGCCCGCGATTATTGGAATTCGTCAGCGAATTAAAGTTATTAGAAGTGCATTCTTATTGCTGGAAACTCTACAAGTGCTTTAGTTTTGATAAAGAATAAAAAAATTACTACTCGCACGTTGATATTTGAATAAGCCCTTTAGCTGCGATATAATCTGGACTGCGGATATTTAGTAAAGTTTTTTGTGGCGGGGATTCTTTGTCAAAATTACCTCGACCGCAGAAATATTTCTGCTGATTCTACTTTCGATGGGAAATAGTGCAAAAGGGATAATTTGTATTTTGCTGGTGAAATAAATTTCTGCACCCTGGTATATCTTTTTTGTGCGTATTGTAAGATTTACATTCGAGTTCGATTACCTGAAGCAAAGTTGGGTTCCCATGGCTGAAGCAGTGGCCTGGCGTGCTTTGCGATAAATTGATTGATCTGCCATTTAAACTTTTGGAAAAGGATCGATACAGGGTGTTCGCAACGAACACCTTAATAATTCAATAGCTTTGAATGTGGAGATATCGATAATCGATCATCGAAAATCATCAAAATATATTAACCTCGGTAATAACGCCAATATTTTTTATCGACTATGGTAGAATTACCGAGATCAAATGGCAAAGTTACCGGGAATTGATTACCAATAAAAGTGGTACTCTTACCTGAAAAAAAAAACCAGTAAAAATACCGGTTTTAGGTAAGTTTACCAGTCTGTCTCGGTAAAATTACCAATAATTGGTAAAAAAAGAGAGATTGTGAAGATACCAACGGACCTTGGTAAAAACGCCGAGAATTTTTTTTTCAGTGCATGGTAAATGATGAATCAAACGAGCTGAAAGTCAAAAATATAATAATAATTCAGTGTATTTAACTACCTACATGATGTTAACACAAGTGTAGTATGTAAGTGTAGTAGGTGTAGTATAATGTGAATACTTGAGTTTATTTTCATATTTTGCTTGTTGTGTTAACATCATGTAGGTCGCTGAAGACACTGAGTTGTTATTTCAATTTTTGGTTTTTAGCTCGTTTGATACATCATTTATCATAAAAAATGTAAGTGTGGCTGTCCGTTTCGGAAAAGAAAGCTTATAGTTCACCGGACTATTTTTGTCGAGTTTTGCCGATAGTTTTTTTTCTGTGCGGAGGGGACGACGATTTTGCCTAAAAAAGGACGAGCGCTGTTTCGATCCTAATCGATCGATCATCAAACCATCCGCACAAAAAAAATCCTGTAACTTGCTAATATTCTTTTCCTCCTTGTTTCAGGGAACCTGAGCGCAGTATTCACGTTCCGATGGAAGGGCGAGGAGCTAGCGCGGCTGCTCGACAACGGGACTCGAATCCACGCGAGCATATCCGTCGCGAGCCACTGCACGAAACCCTACTCCAATATTAACAGGTAATCCCTCCACCGACGCCTAACGCCGCCCGCTATCCGATTTCATCCCCGTCCCTGCCGCCCCCCGCAATCCCGAACAGGGTCACCGGGTCAGTTACTCGCCACCCGGTGACGTCACGTCCAACCCGCCGCGCTGACGTAGCTGTGGGGTTGCAGGGTCAGTTCTGCCGTGACCCGTTCGGGGGTTTAGTTGCGGCGCCGTGTTTCCGCGTCATAGCGTCACGCGTCCGGGATTAGAGTCCCGGTCGCATCGCGTCATTTCGTCGTCTTCATCGCGAAAGAACGTAACTCCATTACATCGATGCCAAACTATCCCTCGCAAATTGTATTTTTACTGAGAGAATCTTGAGAGTTGGACGTATTTCTACCGAACAGACCTATGTGGAGGTGAGAAATATCGACGGTGAAACTACCAAACCACGTATCTCGTTTGTGGTGTTTAAAAATCTACGTTCACATTTTTTTGAAGTAGACCAAATCAATATCATTCCTTGAAATTTTCACGGAATTTTTTCCGCACAAAGAGGAAAAATCACAGAAATTTTCAAGACTGGATGTTAATTAGTTTTTCATTTAAAAAATAAAGTATGACAGGAAGTCTGCGACGTCGCAAACCGAGATACGTGGTTTGGTAGTTTCACCGTCGATATGGGGTGTGCTCGTCGCAGCTGCTTAAGAAACAATGTAAAAGTGGACGTGATTCCTTTCGAAGAATTGGCAAAGCGGGATTTTGCATTCTATCAAAGAGACCTATGTGGCAACTGAATGCGGAACTCATGAGCCGCGGGCATGGCAAGAGAGCGTTGTGGACAGGGCTCATGAGTTTATGCGGGGGCGGGCGGAGGAGGCGAGCGGCTTCGTTGCCGCTGACGTCACTGGCGCACAATTATTCTCATTCACTCTTACGCAAAGAGAACTAACGAGCACACCCCATATTTCTGACCTCCACGTAGGTCTGTTTGGTAGAAATACGTCCAAGTATTGTCTGGAAATTTCACTGATTTTTCTTTAGCTTTCATGCAAAAATCAGACAAATTTTGGATAAAAGTTGCACAGGTACACTTTGTAAAATAAATTAAATGATTGAGTGAATTTGGCAACATGGGTTTGGAGTTAGGCTACTTCGTCCAGGAGACGACGATTTCTCTCGTGGAAGAACGTAACCACGTTTTAATGTTGCCAAATTTCCCTCGCTGATTGAATATTTACCTGCAGAATAATCGTTGGCATTTCTGCACTAAAAAAACAAAATTCCGGCCTCAGCAGCTGTACTTACGGGCTATAAAGACCCTGCCCCCTGGCCGCTACGCAGCCCAACTCCAGAGGGCGCTTTGCGTTCTCTTAGACCCGCGTCGACAAAAGAACGACCAAAAAGATTAAAATATTTTCATACTCAAATTTTTTTTTTTATTAAATAGACAATTTTTATATTTTTTTTATATAACGCATGCATACGAAAGTGTTGAAAGTGAATATTTTTATGTAACTATTATGATATAAACAAAAAGGTCATCATTTTCGTAAGCTTTTCGCGAATCAGAAGATTTTTTAGTATGTTTGCGAAAAGCTCACGAAAACTATGACTTTTTTTACATAATGGTTACATAAAAATTTTCACTTTTAACACTTTCGTATGCATGCGTTATGTAAAAAAAATTATAACTTTCGGACATAATCTTTATCTTTTCCCTCTGGTTCTGCTACTAGGGAAGGAACCAAGTCACATCAACTATTGCCAAATTTAACTGGGCAATTGAATCTGTTACGAGAGAACTTTTGTGCGGATTCCTTCGAAAATGTCAAGGAATTTGCTTCGTACTAAGCAGAAAATTCACTGAGCTTTGCGCAAAAATTCGCACAACCGTTTTCACGCAAAACATTTAACTGCCCGTTCGAATTTGGCAATAGCTGATGTGGTTTGGTTCTTTTGTGCTAAAATTGGTCCAAATAAAGCTTCACAGGAAGTTTCCAACGTTCCAAACGGAGATGAGTGGTCTCGCACTTTGGCTATCGATATGTTCATTTTAAATATTCCAAAATGCTGATGGTCCCAATTCGATTTAAACGACCTATTGATTTAGAGACGTCAATATTCATCGTAACATGGGGAGAAATCGTGCAACTTTGGCTATCGATATGTTCTTTTTGAATATTCCAAAATGCTGATGGGCCCAATTCGATTTAAACGACCTATTGATTTAGAGACGTCAATATTCATCGTAACATGGGGAGAAATCGTGCAACTTTGGCTATCGATGTGTTCTTTTTAAATATTCCAAAATGCTGATGGTCCCAATTCGGTTGAAACGACCTATTGATTTAGAGACGTCAATATTCATCGTAACATGGGGAGAAATCGTGCAACTTTGGCTATCGATATGTTCTCTTTGAATATTCCAAATTATTGATGGTCCCGATTCGATTTAAACGACCTATTGATATTGAGACGTCAATGTTCATCGTGACATGCGGAGAAATCGTGCAACTTTTGTCTTGTAAGAGCAAAAGTTTCGTCGTCAGCGAGTTCCTTGAAGCTTTTTTCTTCCAAATAGAGCGCAACTTTTCCTAGATCAGACCTTGGAAGACTGCGGAAGCTCCCGTCAGTGACGTACCGGGCTACCACCCGTGGCTTGAATTATTCCGATCAGTGGTACCAAATTGATGAAGAACTTACGATTAATCAATGTAGGAAACGGGAGATTTGGTGGATTTCGACACAAAACGGCAACAGTGTTTGGCGCGGCGTTAAGGACCGGCACTTCAATAGTCTTTTATATTGATTGAATTGAATTGTATTGTGAGCATACATTCTTTAAGTGTTTGCGTTCGCCATAAAACACGTTTGACGTTCGGCCTTGATAAGCACAACATACTTTGATTTTGACCGTTTTTCTCCTGTCCAAGATACCTTTGATCGTTTTGCGAATCTTTTAATATCATGAGCAAAGCTGAGTCTCCAGCTTGATGAAAATATATATGAAAAAGTCGTTTATTTGTTTACTCGTTACGAAAATAGGAGACATAGTTTCTGTCAAAATGTAATTTTGAGGAAGGAAAAAATTCCCTCTTATGGTAACAAAAAAGGAGCGGGTTGAAGTAATATGTTTAAGTTATCTAATTGAAAACTTTGCTGCCTAAAAATATTAGTGATATTCTAAGAAAGTTCAGGAATTGATTACCTCACTTCAAGTAATTTGCTGGTCCTAAAGAATTGAGCGTCAAAAATTGGGAATCAGGAAGTACCTACATATGTCATCCATTAATTTCTTCTAATTTCTCTTAAAATATGTTGCAAATCGTTTTCTTTCTTTTTTTTGAAAGTTTTTGCGAAACGTCATCTTTGAATTTGTGTGTTCCCTTAAAATTTTCAAATTATGTCGTGCAAAAAAAGGGAAAAAAAGAGAGAAAAAAATCCCTTGACTTGAGTTCAGCATTTTTAAGAGTCCATGTAGTATTTCAATCTCTAAATATTTAATTTTGGAAATCACGATAGGATAACTTGGCGAATTAACTGTTCATGCATAGAACTGAACCCTTCATTTATAGCTTAACAAACTGGTTCATTTGTTCTTTTGTCTAATTTTCCAGCCTACAATAGTCAAAGCAAACCGCATTAATGACTATCTTATTGCTTGAATCATGATTTCAGATGTGATGAGCGTCCCTCTACGCTTCGTGCGTGGGCTGGGATGAATGTCTTATTGATAACCATTCATTTTTCTCCATTCAATTCAACCCGATTCAAGGTGCGGGGCTTTGTGTCAGGTTAAGGAAAGTAGGTCATTCTCTTATGAAGAAAACCAGAGCAATGGCACTGACACTGGCAGCTCCTGATTGGCAGGAGGATATGTTATAAGTTCAATTACTTGAACTTTCCGTATTGCTCTCTGCCGTAAGATTCCGATCATTACATCGAGTTTAGCCTTTTCCTTGTACCGTTATGGTCAGTATTCTCCTTAGATTGACATAGTGCGCATGCGGTGAAGTGATCTCATACAAATAATTAGTCAAACTCTTAAGTTCAAATTGTGTGAGCAAATTACGGAGTGTCCAATATTCTGCAAAAGTTAAATGCACCAAAAAGTATAAAGATAATAAAATGACCTCAAACTTTTTCTCCTTTTTAAGAGTTTCTCAATCCGAATGAGGCATTTTTTGCGAATAAAAAAAAGCTAAAGCGGTAAAGATAAAGGAATTTTAAAAAGGAGATAGCAAAGTACTGTCACCCCTTTTGTTTCATTTCGTCTCTGAGCACGCTCATTCACAAAAAACCTAAAATTAACACTCCAGTTCCTTGTAGACTCAGTCAGAAGGTATATCGGTAAGCATCTCTTGAAATATTTTGGCACGAAATACTTAAGCACAAAAAATTGAAACAATCACTGCATTTGAAATAACACCAGAATAACTATGAAGGGGCCGGAGGATACGGCGCATAAGTGGAGTTTTTACTATTTAAAAAAAAAACGTGTTTAAAGTTTCAAAATTACATGGAGCCTTGTGGTGGAGGGGAAGTTTAAATTCACTTTTTGATGCTTCAAAGTTGGATTTTAGTCGTGGCTTTTTTACGGAATATAGTTTGATACTAGTTTTAGTTGAGTTCATAAATAAATCAATGTTTCCAAAAACTGCACTTATGCGCCTTTGTCCTCCAATATTATAATATTTATGTCGTTCTTTACTTCCTTTCGCTCCTAAATCACAACTGCCTCATTTGTTGCGGAATTTTATGAAGATAGAAAATAAAATTACTGTCAACAAAGTGACAAAATTTTTCTGGAAAATTCAAAGTAGGTAGTTGAGGTCGACGTGACAGTCGAAAATTTTTTGAGTGCTCACAGTTATTTGTGATTCCAAAAGCATTAATGTTGATGTCTATTTGATTACTTTGGTCGTTTTTATTGTTTAGTCGTCTTCCTTTAAACATGTCAGAAAGGACTTATGGTTTAAGGCAAAAGTCCTGATAGCATATGCCTCATAAAAAATAACTCATTCAGGGA